GTCTGAACTGGGTACCTTGTAGTCAGTCCAGTTTAACTGTTAGGGCACCTACTGCCTGCATTTTTCCATAGCTCAGTGATTGCCGATTCCCTCCTTGATCGTTTGATGTTTTTAACACGCGTGTGTCGGTTGGGGTCCTGCACATGGCTCAGTGACAGAGACAGAGAAAGCTGGTAAACACAGACCATTTACCCCCCAAATGATTGCAAGCCACGCTGTGTTAGCCAGTTAGCGTTAGCTGTATGTGCAGCTTTTCCCAAAGTAGCCCATTATCTATTGCTGAAAAAAAGTGTGTCCTTATAATTAGCATTTTGACACGAGATTTTTACATCTTCAGTCTGCTAACTGGTGCCATCTAACCGCTTATAGCCTGCTGGACACAGTGCAGCTCCAGAGAGTGAGGAAGAGGACGAGGAAGATGAGGACGAGGAGGAAGAAGAGGAGGAGGGAGAAGAAGAGGAGGAGGAGGAAAATACAAAGGAAGAGGAAGAGCCTGAGTGCATCCAGAGAACATCAGAGGAGATAAAGGCTTTGTCCTGCCAGGGCAATGGCTGTCTGCCAGGAGACGCACCTCAGGTATCTGCAGAGGGGTCTGTTGTAGATGTGCTGGCAGTGTGGGCACTTCCCAAATGCTGCTGGAAACACCTGGCTGCACCGGCATGCTTAAGGGTGACGTCATTTACCCAGGCTGCAGACAGTCCTCTTCGAGGTGGCTGTGGTTCTCTTTGGGTTAAATGCTCCGTCTCAGAGCCAAGCTGCCTGCAGACCAGAATCCTTATGCAGTCATTCGAAACTGAAGCCCGAAATGATGTTTTTGTGCTGGGTTTGTAGCCAAAAACAGTAAGCCACTTCACATTGCGTATCTCCTGCATCTTCATTAACAAATACATTTTATATACAGGCATTAATCCTACCCCCCCCAAAAAATCAGCTTTTAATATCCTGCGAAAAATTTTATTGGATATTTTTGTTAAAAGCTTTGCTGCTCAGCAAGACCCCGAACCAGGACTCTACGGCCTCGTGTGCTAACTGCCTCGCCATGTGCAAAAACAATTTTAAAGTTTAATCTGAGAAAAAATAAAATGTTATTAACCCTTATTGGACATCTGTATGGGTGCTCATCACAGGGAAGTTTGTCGTGTCGTCCTCAGGAACCTGAAGTCATTAAAGAGGAATCGGTCACAGACGGGCCACTGAAGGGTGAGTTCACTTCAGCGCAGAACCCGGGTTTATGAAATCTGAGTGTTTTCCGTGTCACTCTTCTAGGCGGCGTCCGTTTGAGCCTCAGGTTGTTCAGTGGTTTCCTGGGAGAGTCCGTATGAGACGCTGGGCCTCAGCTAGGGTGACCGCTTATCTCATGCTGCTGCGGATGGTTGTTATGCAGGCCTGCTGCGGATGATTGTTATGCAGCCCTGCGGTTTGGCCCTTTCATTATTTTTTAAGCGATTTCCAGTCTTTGATGGTCCGTCGTTTGATTTCTGTTGCTCGCATGCTCCGCTTCTGACTGAGGGAGCCTTTCTATGCAATGACAACGGAAAACACAGAATTGCGATATTCACTGTCTGACCTAATAGACGCAGGCTGGTACCCTAAACCCGCTTTGATACAAGCTCTGTTCGGTCCTTTAATTCCGACCTCATTAACTTCAGCTTGGTTTCTGCCCTTTTCCACAAACCGAGTCGAAAGAGCAGCCAGAAAGCCAACAGCGGGCCAAGTGTTTCTGTCAACGTCGCATCCAAAGCATTTCATTTCCCACGTCGCATGCAGAGGAATGTCCGTCGCCACGGAGATAAATAGTAGTGCCTTTCAGGTCTTAAATTTAGTCTTGTTGCCGGCAGAGAGGCCACCTGACTTCTCATGCGACACAGCGACCTTGTCAAGTGTTTTTGTCCTTGTTGATGCTTTCTGTTGAGTAGTTTACCAAAATTTGCAGTATGATTCATTTGCTGCATTTTCTCTGTTTGCATTGATAGAAATGCGAGACAATCCAGGTCCTCAAGCGGAGGAGAAGGCAAAATCCCTGAACAAATCAGAAAATAAGACAGACATAGTAAAATCCAAATTCTTTTTTGGGTCAAATCGAATGGTAGGACATGTTTTCAATTTTATTTGACTATCCTGTTTCTGGTGTCTTAATAACAAGATTGATATCGAGTAAACTGCAGACGTAGTGTTTTCTGTACCAGGATGTACAATGCTAGTTCTGTTTGTGCGTTACACAGTTGAGATAATTTCAACGCAGATGTTTAGTAGCAATAGAGCAGATGGTGAAAATTGCACTTCTCTCTGTGTGCTTCCGCAGATATCGCTGTTCAAACGTCCATCAACGACAGAGAGCGAACAGCCGAATGGGAAGGGCGAGGCCACACCAAAGGGTGAGGCAGAGGATCCTCCATCAGCGGGGGGGTCTGCGAGTGACACAAGCAAAGTGAAAGACAGCAACCCAGGGGAGAGTGTGGATGGCAGTTCGCAGCCGGAGGCTAGGGGGCAGCAGAGAGCACGGGAACCCAACAGCAGGGCCTCTCGCTCAGCCACTTGCACTTTGGTGTAACTCCTGCAGGCGGCGCTTGTGTCTCATTCCAGGTGCCTTTTCAGTGTGTGGAAGAAAAACACACACAAAATGAATACCACTAACACTTCACTGGATTCTCTGCATTTGTTCGAATACAGTTACTGTTCGGTGTTAATCGGGATGCTCGCCAATCTCGCATCCATGACTGAATGCAGAAACTGAGCCATAAGTGGGAATTTACTGGTAATGTTACAACTACATGCTGTTATTGGGGGTTATTTTTATCAGAATAATGATGAAGGTTATTATTCAGAGATATATATGCTGATATGTAGCAAATTTTGTATATTACACACAGTGACTCAGAGTGTAATACTCGGAAGTCTCACTTCCAGCATTGTGAGTTTGATTCCTGGAGTTTTTGCCAGTGTGCAGTTCGGGGCGTCCCCTGCCTCGTGCTCTGTGCTTCTTGGTACAGGCTCCAATTCCAGTTAGGCTCCGCACTGGATAAGCACTAAAAGTATATTTTATATATTCATTATATTTACTACTCACTTTTCTCACATTGTACAGCACTGCACAAGAAGAGATAATTCATATAAGAACATAAATGGGAAAACTGAACTACCTGGCAGCCTAAAACATCATCCTCAAACAGCCAGAAGTACTGTAAACATAAAGGAATGGTTCACACTGGCACTTAAAGCCATATTATTGAATGTCCACCTCCAGTGTGTGTCAGCAGGGCTGTCCGTGAATGTGCCCGACCAAAAATAAATACACCCTTGTGATTTGGTCAGGGACACAGCGACTTCTGTTAAGGAGTGAGCCCTCTTCAAAGTAAGCAGTGCTGAAGGGACCTCTCAGAGGCACGATGGCACACGACCGGGGCTACTGTGTCAGAGCGCAAAGCGGCACTGATTATCCACGCCGTGTGAGTCCCTGAAATGCACATGAGCTCCGATCGCTCTCAATGTGAACGTGAGTCCAGCCTCCGCTAAGCCATTGGCTCAAACCCGAGTCCTTCTTTCAGCCACTGGCCTCTCCATGTTTTTATTTATAGATCAGATGAACTCCTGTCTATTGCCATTGTGAACTTTGGTGATTTTCCCCCCCACTTTTTTACTAAAATAACTTTTGTGCCTTTATTACTTTTTTATTTTCTGTTATAGAATTCTGTATTGTTCATATATGTAGGTCCAATTTGATATTTTCTATCTGTCAGTTTGTCTTGTAAGAGTGCAGACGTGTTTGTTATGACACAACGATCTCAATGCACTGGTGCACTTTACATGGGTCCGTAGCACGTTCTGTCTGTGTTTGTGACTGACCTGGTCTCAGTTTTTTACATGTTACTGTGAGCGGTGTGAAGCTGTGCTGAATTCCTGCGTCTGTGAACCTGTTTTTGATATTTGAATCTGTTCGAATGTTTTGATATCTGATGACTGTCATTCATTTGGATACTCTTAGATTTGCATGGCGTAAAAGTAAACTACACAAACACAGAGTTTGACTGATGACATTTTTTCTTTTAAAGTTTATTTTAACCTAGTTGCAGCGGAGAATCCGGCCCATGGTGGAGTTATTTGTATGTGTGTTTGTGGTGTTGTAAATACAATGAAGGCTTCTAGGCCAACAAGAACAGACTTGCACACATCAGAAATGGAGAATGACCCAGACAAGGTAGGTATGGAGCTGACATTCAGGAATTAATGAACTCAACATGAGGTAGAAGGAACATTGTTCTGTTTCCTTAAATATAAAAATACTTCAACTCCTTCCAAGGTGTCCCCAGTTATTGCAGAAATATTTTAAATGAACTTAAGTGGACGCAGCTCTGGCAGCCTAATATGGATATTAAAAAGTTAGTGTTTTCTACCTGAAAACTCCCTTTTGTGAGGACTGAAGGTGAACGCTCGTGGGGAAAGGTACGTCTTTAAGTTTTTTTCTTTTGGGGGTGGGGGAATTAAAAGCAGAAGACGTGGTAGGCATATACTGAAACCCGTGGATGATGTTCAAGTTTGACCAGCGTTGTAACTGGAGAATATCCTCCTGTTTCCTGCGTGGGAAGGCGGACCCAAGCAAAGGTTTTGCGCTGGAGGGTTTCTGCTCGTAGATGTGAAAGGGGGTTGCATATGTGGATATGGATTGCAGAGCTGTAGCTGTTTTTTTAGTTGGTGTTCACCTTTCTTTCATCCTGGGATATGAAGGTAAATGCGGGCGATTTATTTGTGGAATGTTGCGCTCAGTGCGGCAGCATGCGTAACTTAACCCAGGTCTTGAAAATAAGTAATACGCTAATAAAAGTTTTTTCCCTTTTTATTTACGAATTCTCTATTAATACTCTGAGCACTGATAGCTGTACGTAATCGCTTTAGTTAGTTTAGTTTTAATCCTGTGATGTTTTCTCCCAGTAAAATGTGGTATCGCCTGCGGGAACGGAGCTTTTCTGTTTACGTGGTATATTCCGGCTCATCAGAGTCGGGTATTCAGGACGATGCTGTTCTGCAGGAAATATCCGGCTAACAAATCAACACGTGTACAGCGATTACAGCCCGTGCCTTAGCGCCGCACGTCTCACGCGCTCTAAACCGCACTACAGCAGGACAACGTTTTCGCAGTCTGTAATTTCCTAAATCCAGCAGTATTGCTGCTTATACTTATACGAGTCTTGTATAATACAAGGTGTGCATTGAGACCGCAGGCCAGTCTGTTTGCATAAGGTATTGAAAGTAAAAAGAGTGAAATGGAAGAGGCGCAGATTGAGCTTTTTTCCGAAGACTGGGAAGAAACTCAGAATGAGTGCTAATGTTACTGTCTTACGTTAAACATGGTCACCGACAGATAAAGGGCCTCCATTAAGGGCCCTTGCATAGTTTTCCCGAAAGGGCAGAGATGCTGTAATGCAAAGGGCAGTGAAACCAAGCAGAGCGGAGGGAATCAGTCCTGCTTTGCATCTCGTCAGTCTGTCACGGAGGTCTGGCCCGGTGTCAGATAGGGTGGTGTCTGTCCGGTATCAGTCAGGTATGTCCTGCCTGGCTTGTGACTCTAACTTTGGGTCAGTTTGGAGGGATCTACTCACCGATAAGGCTTCACAGCGAGGTCTATGAACGACTGCATGTCAAATAAATGCGTTTCAGATATATAAACGGACATCAGTTTAGATTAATATATATAGGCCTATCCAAAGAGGCGCGCGTTTTGGGCGAAAGCGGTTTATTAATAATCGGTCGCCTCCTTTCTGCGATATAAATTCTCAGTGATACTTGACAGAGGCAAACCAGTCTTCATTGCTGGATTTACGTGCCTGGATGGAATCTCTGTGGGCTCACCCTGAGCACCCCGGAGCGAAATCCGGCAAATAAACCGTTTGAAACATAAATTGCGCGAAATTATTTGCTTGGCTTTTTTTTAATATTCCAGCGCTGTTTTTCTTTTTGTTATTAATTTCTGTGTCTGAAATACAAAAAGCTTATATTTCCTCTTGTTGCGGATGAAAACAGTACAGATGTAGGCTACATATACAAGGATTTCATTTTCTGTACTTAAAGGTAAATATTTGGTTACCCTTCTGTGCTGTGCTGTATCGGCAGTACGCTAGTCGTACACAGTACAGTGAAGAGGAACTGGCCTCAAAACTTAATGGAAATTCTCCTGGCCTCCCTCATGCAGGCTGTTCTGGGTATGTCTCCTTCCCCTGGAATTGGCACAGGGTTCACTTTGTTCCCAATGGGAAGGAGGTTGGGGGGGGGGGCGGCTGTAATAGTCCTGCCAAACAGACTGGCAAAATCCTCATGTCACCTTATCCATGACTTCAGGGTGTCCCATTCATTGTGAAACAATGAAAAATGAGGCCCGATTCTGGGTTTCATTTGGTTTATTTAAATCTTCCCCAGCTTGGAATCAGGCAAGATGCTTATTCAGATAAATTATGTCATCTTAGTTGGCCTTAGATGTAAGTGATATGGTTTGAATTGACATGTGGAAGTCAGAGGAGACCCATGGACCGCAGCACGACGGCTGATAAAGGTGAATCTGAGCCATTTTATTGCACAACTTTTGTGTGCGTGCGTGTGTGTGTGTGTGTGTCTTGCCCTTTTGTTTCTGGCCCATGGTGTGTAATCATTACTGCCCTTTCTGTGGCTGTGATTGGCTCAGTGCTTGGTGTGTAATCATTACTGCCCTTTCTGTGGCTGTGATTGGCTCAGTGCTTGGTGTGTAATCATTACTGCCCTTTCTGTGGCTGTGATTGGCTCAGTGCTTGGTGTGTAATCATTACTGCCCTTTCTGTGGCTGTGATTGGCTCAGTGCTTGGTGTGTAATCATTACTGCCCTTTCTGTGGCTGTGATTGGCTCAGTTCATGGTGTGGTATACCAGCTTGCTTCGGATGGTATCGGAACACCAGACGGGTGCTTTTCCCGGGCATGTGAATGGTTTGAGGGCACGCGGCAGTCAGATGGGAAGCTGGTGAGCTTGGATTGGGCAGACCAGTGGCCCAGCAGCTCGGGACGTCTGGTGCACAAGCGTCCCTGTGGCCCAGAGGAGGCCGAGGTTCGAGTGATGTTAGAAAGTCACGCCGCTGAGACCAGAGCTGGACTGTTAGCGTTTGCCTGACAAATCGCTGGCGGTGACAGGCCTGCAGGCAGTGGGGGGTTAGGGGAAAGGAAGTGCAGGTTAGATTCGCTGTGAGGGGGGGATTGTTAGGACGATTCCAAAAATTTGTAACATAATGGGATTGGTCTGGGGTATGGGCCCAATAGGATACACTTTCATGGGCCCAAAATCTCCAGCCTCACGCCTGGTGCAGGGAGTCGCATGTTGGGGGCAGAGGGGTCAAGCCCCAGCGTTGGCAGCCATGCAGCGCTCCCAGGCCAAGAGCTCTGTACAACTTCAAGGCATATAAATTAAGTTTTACGTGCTTCAAAAATGAGAGATAACTTGAGTCCGTAATGAAAGGTTCCGCCTTGAGGTTTCGCCGCCATGTGAGATAGGAGCATTCGGCAGCTCAGGACGACGTATCTGCAGCAGCTTTTCCTCCAGTGTCCCTTCTGAAGGTGTTTTTTTCCAAGCAAATAGTGCCTAGAGAAATTTATGTTTTCAAAATGCTTGAAGTGAACAATAAAGCCTTGTCCTAAGTCAGTGATATTCATGCTTTAGATACAACAGCAAATTTCATGCTTTGATATCTGCCAGTAACAACAGCCTGGTTAGGTAAAGCACATTCTCAGCAAGTCCCAAACGGGGTTTATTCTTCCTGCACTCGGTCCCATAAACTGTAGCATCTTTAAATTAACTTTTTCACTTTTTTAAATTCACATCTGATGGACCCCTTAGAGTGTCCAGAGTGGACAGTGTCACATTGTCTCTCAGACCGTCCAGAGTGGACAGTGTCTCTTTGTTTCACTCCTCAGTGGGTGTTTCTGTTTTCCCGCCTCGTTGCCGGTTGACCACTTGCCCGTGACCACTTGCCCGACATTAAATGCTAACATGGTCTGAGAGTTCATCTTCTTAAATGATAATGTGGTACTTTGATCTGTCCCCGCTGTACTTCCAAAGCAGGTCACTTAGGTGGCATTTCTGTCCACACAGACATAAACATCAAACAGTGTCATGCTGGGTATTTTACCAGAATGACTAAGGTTAAGCATCATGCCAAGGATGCTACAGCGGGACTCATTCTACCTCTTGTCCCTCTTGGCAGCTGGCTTTGTGTGGACTCTGTTGTCCTGTAAAAAAAAACTATAAATATAGAACAGAGTGTAATTATAATTGCTAGTCATTAGATTACATCTTTCACGGCCAGCTTGGCTTTGGTTTCATCTCAGCAGTAGTTTTACAGATTTACACAAGACTCTGTACAGAAGTTAAGCCACTCGGAACATCTAGATTTAATGCCCCTGCTGTTAAAACCATTTTGTGGCAATTGAATTTGCGCGGGGCAAGCCTACTGAACAATGTTTCAATGTGGTCTGTAGTATTAATGCATGCAAACATTTGTAAATGCTTTACAATGATTTCCTGTCACTCCTAGTCCACAAGCCTCAATGAATCTTTCAGCTTTGTTAATTTATAGTAACCAGCTGCGTACAAACTGCTGAGTTTAATGTGCAAAGTAAGAACCATGCCATTAAGTGGGAAGGACCAACAGACATGGAGATTCCATGCCGGACTCTGATTGGTCCGGGTCAATCCCTTCTGGATTGCTCATTGGCTGAAAGATCTGTGCAAGTTAATAAGGCAATACAAGATCTGTGACATGACAATGATGAGATTGTTATGTCAAAGTATTGGCTGTACGGGACGTCTTATGCAAATATAGACCTAGTGTTAGATCCTGTACAGTAGATGTCCTTTCAGGTCATTTTGGTCTTTAGCACCATTCTCCATGGATCACAGTAAGTAAATAGTGAACTGCGGCTGTGAAGCCGGTGTCTCCTGCTTTGATGTTGTGCCACGACCAGAGTGCACAAAAAAATACACATCTCCAGAGGGAGGTGGTATTTTTCCGAACAGGCACACCGAAATGTGTCAACCCCCCAAGACTCCCAGGAATGGGGGGGGCGACGTGCTTCCCACTGCATGTTCCCCTGACTGGCATGAATGGAATTGCCCCCCCGCACTTCCCTTTTCATGTCAGCAGTTCCTCAGTCTCTCCCCCTTCCCCGATGTCTCTTATTGTCTTCTTTTAGGATCGGGGTACTGGTCCTATGGAGACGACGAGGATTCTTACGCACGTAGATACAAAGGTGAACGCTTTCACTAACTGCTAACTGCTCACACATGCTGCTCGACCATGGGCGCTGTCTGTGCTGTTGGCCTGCTGCATGAGGAGAAAGACACACGCATACGCTTGGAGCACAAAGGAGCGGGTGGAATTAATTAATCCCATTAAATTAGCTGCTTGTTTACCATAATTAATTGTTACATCTTAAATTAGATAACCGCAGAGGCAGACCAGTGAGGTAGAGACTTTCATGTTTTCCATGTTCAGCACGCCCCACAAATAATATTTGCGTGACTACAATTTAATGAAAGTTTGATGCATTACGGGCCGTTTTTGGGAATAGTCACATTATCCCCCAGCAGGTGGCAGTCTATGTTTATGGCTCCATTTCACTGCCTGATTTTACAAGCCTTTTAAAGAGGATTTGCACACATTTTCTCTGTCTTTTCCAAACACATTAGTGGATAACACATGAAATGTTAGAGCACTTGCCAAAAAGCAGCCACCCATATCTAATTAATACTTAAATACCTAATACTTAAAGCTTTTTGAAGAACACGGCACATGTCTTTGACTTGAGGCTGCTGGAATTTTTATGTAGATTTTATATATATATATATATAATATGACGTGTGTGTATGTATGTATATATATACACACACACATGTTATGTATGTGTATATATATGTATATATGTATATATATGTATGGCCTGGATTTATTCTGTTGTACATTGATCGGAAACTTGGAACTGCAGAATGGAGAAAAAGCACAGAGGTTTTTGGAAAGTGGAGCATAACAGGAGTTTGGACAGAGCTGTTCAACGTAAGAGAATCCCTGCTTTGTTCGCATAGTGGATGGGGTAGGAAACAGGATGTAATTACCCTATATGCTCTGCGCATTTATGCTTTTTAAGAGTGCCTGTGCTTTTCCTAAACAGAGCTCTTTTCACTCAACAAATCAACCTGAAATTTTAAGTATCGCCAGAGGACGGCACAAATTACTTAGTTAGTGGCATTGGTACAACTTTTGTTAAAGTGTCTCCATTGTCCTTCGCGATGCACTGAGCTCCAAAACGGGGAGTAAAGACCAGAGCATCCCTGCTCAGTGTTTACCGGCACACGTGATCACCTTTGTGTTTCCTGTCAGTTGCCTGTAACGTTTAATCAATGATAAGATCTTAAAGTGCAGAAGGGTCTGAGTTTTCTTGGTTTCGGGTTTTTTGGAATCGAACGAAGAGGTGGTGGTCCCCATATCTGCTACACCAGGCACGGCTCGCGGATGAGACTCGCTGCCTATCAGCTCGTAAATAATCAGTAACCAATGAGACGCCAGTTTTCCAGGGGGGAGGTTACACATAATCACATAATCACAAGCACCTCCTTTGGCAGGAACCCCATGGTGCGCTCCCATAAAGGTGAAGCACGGGTATGTCAGCTGTCGCTCCCCACGGGGGGAGCACTACCTGAACGTGATGGGTGCCCGCTGCACCATCCGCTGCAAGAAGGGCTATGAGATGCACGGCTCCAGCGAGGTGCTCTGCATGGCCAGCAAGCGCTGGTCTGGCAGCTATGCTTGCCGAGGTGAGGCCCCGCTCCTGCACTGCCCCTAGTGGTAGACATTAGAATCACATTTTAACTAAAGGAATCGTTGTGGTGGATTAATTGCACAGGCCTAACCAAAACAATCCATGTCCATAACGAGTCAAAGGGGTATAGTGGTGGAACATAGCTGATGTGTTATTAGTATACAGAACACAGACATGTGACACTGTAACTGTAAAGCCAGCAGGGGGCACTCATGACCTGTTTTGTTGAGCCTGCAGAGATTCGGTGCCCAAAGCTGGACATGCCGGCCAATGGAGGATACAAGTGTTCCGACGGCTCCTACTTTAACTCCAGGTGTGAGTTCTTCTGCTCTCCGGGTTACACGCTGAAGGGGGAACGTTTCGTCACCTGCCTGAGCAGCAAGACCTGGAGCGGAGGACAGAGCACCTGCGTGGGTGAGAGTCTTCAGGTGGATCATGAGGGGATGGACACTCAGTGCTGGTGTGTTTCTTAATACCAAAAACGCAAAGATTGTGCTCTTGGCAAGACCAGTCTTGCTAACTTGCCTCCAGAGAGCGAACTTGGGGCACAATGAATGATGGGAATGGTCTTGTTTGGTGAGGGTCCAACTGATGCTGATTTTTGGGGAGGAGCAAGAACAACATCTAGGGATTTTTACTGTCCTCTGTACTTCTGTCCTTGAGTATTGTATCTGGTCTTCGGCATTGGAAGATTATGTAAAACGGGTACGAGAGAACACAAACCTGGATGTAAGGGCATGGATGGTAGGGACATGTACTATGGGAGTACCATGTGTGTCTGGGGGGGGGGATGCATTTGGTGCTGGTTTGGTCCCTACCAGTGTTGAAACCAACTCCTTTACCTGAATGTCCTGCAGGTCACATCTTCAGACAGTTCTATCAACTCCAGAAATGTAGCAGTTTTTGTTCAAGGAGACCAATTTTCAGTTGGCATTAGGTTTTTAGGAAAAACAAAAGCTACGCAACCTTGCTATACATTAAACCCCCAGCCGCCCCCAAGGCCCTTATGCACTCCCCCAGCATGGAGCGATGTGCTGAACGCCACACGGATGGGTCGATTGTCCTCCTGAACCGCTCTAACAAGATAATGAACTGCCTGCAAGGCAGGAGCGATTGCAGCACGGAATGTTTTAATTAGCGTTTAGGGGAGGCAGTAATTGACTTTGGTTCGCCTGACCAAGCTCGTGCAAGACATGCAAATTGCACGTCTCTGAGGCCTAATGACTGGGCACGGTCGCACCTTTGGGTTAGACTGGCGTATTTACATTTTTCGGGACTTAATGCGAGATTAAGTTTGCCCGACTGTCAGGCCAGATGTGAAATGCCTCCGTAATCATAAGCTGTCTGTTATCAGAAGTGCCAACCAAAGTTAATTTGCACCCAAAGTTTTTCAGCGAAGGGAAAAAACATGACCGGTGAATCTGGCTGGAGTTATTTCCTGGCATTTTCCGGCCGCTGAGTCACACACTGGGAGGTATGAGATTCACAGCTTAGCCCTCAGGAGTCTTCTTGTACTGGAGCCTGAATGAACCAAACTTGTCCATTTTGGTTCATGTTCCTGGAGTCTGTTCCAAAGTGTAAAAAACTGGGCACTAACTAAAAAAATCCCTCTGTGAGACATCGAGAGGGTTTGGCCATTTTGAATGAGGTGGACAGACTGCTGTGGCTGCCTGTTACCCATCTTATGAAGCATGAAGAGTGCGTGCTGTGTTACAGGGCACTGGGTGTTGTCCTGCTCTCAGGGATGTTGGCTTGTTTAGTTAGAGGGCAGAAGTCTCACTGTGAAGGGCTCCAAATAAATCTTCTTCCAGGAATAGCCGTGTCCCGTGGATCCATTTGTATGTTTTCACAGAGGGTGAGATTTTTGACTACATAAGTCAGTGCACAACAACCTCCTCCTTTCTTGGTGCCGAAAAGGAAAGTCTGTCCGTTTACCTCATCATGGAACTGCACCTGGGAGATGTGGAGCCTTCACCGACCTGCCTTTCCAGGTCACAAGCATGCAAGTGTTCCTAGCCATGCCCTCAGTCGGCCACACCCTTCAGTTTGTCACACCTTCAGCTGGCCACGCCCCTCGACTGGCCACACCCTACAGTTTGTCACACCTTCAGCTGGCCACACCCCTCACTTGACCACACACCTCAACTGACCACACCCCTAGGTTGGCCACATCCTCAGTTGACCATGCTGGCAGATTTGGCGAGTTCTTATCGTTCATCATGTTCTCCATACTCCTATGAGAGACATCAGGTTTCACTGGGGCAGCAGGGTGAGCCATAGCTATTGGTGAAAATGACATATTTCACACCTATACTCAGAAGGAGGTGTACTTTCCCTTTGTACTTCATTTTCCTGCAGTTTCTCTGCAACATGACTGTTCCAGTGTGCTCTGCGCGGGATCTATGCTACGAGTGAATTTACTACACTTTCAAGAATCGCATTTCTTTTTGTTTATCACCCGCACTAATTTGCGGTTCATCGTGCAATATTAACGGCTAACGTGAAAGAACAGCAGATAACCAAAAGCATCACCTTCTCCCTAATGTGTTGTCATTGTGTCTAAGTGACTATGTTTAATGACACCCTCCAGTAAATGACAATCTCTGGTATATTCTCTGCCTGCACTGCCAGCATGGATTTTTTTTATTGTGTTATTGTCTGGATTTAGGAAGACATGTTATTCCTGTTATTATTATTATTATTATTATTATTATTATTAATATTTATAAATTGCCATCTTATTCTGAGTTGTACAGGAATGCTGGAATGGTGACCTGTATTTAAAGTAAGCTGGTTAACCTGCCCAGTGCACCTGGTTCCCAGTGTAATTAGCAGATTTTAGCAGAACGCATGTATCCGCATGGAACCACAGTACGGTGTTCTTGGAACCACAGTACAGTGTTCTTGGAACCACAGTGCAGGTTCTGGATTCTTTTCCTGTCTTCCCTGCTATTGGTCAGCTGGATCTAACCCCCCTCCCCCCACTGTCCCCTAGACATCGAACCTCCCAAGATCAAGTGTCCCAGCATCAGGGACAAGACGGCAGATCCGGGGAAGCTGACGGTGCGGGTGACGTGGGACACGCCGGAGGGGAAGGACACAGCCGATGGCATCCTGACGGAGTCAGTCTGTCCCTGCTGCGCCGCCGGTTGTGACATCCACAGAGTCAGCGTGTCCCTGTAGTGCCTCGGCCTGACAGGTCCTCTTCTGTCCCCCCCTACCACCCCAGCGTGATTCTTAAAGGAAATCCACCTGGCACCCGCTTCACCGAAGGGGACCACAAGATGTCGTATACGGTGTACGACCGTGCGGGGAACAAGGCCTCCTGCAAATTCTCAGTGCGGGTTCGAGGTCAGTGACACCTGTACACATTTCTGCACATCCTTTGGGGCTTCACTGCTTCTGCGACTTTGGGGCTTCACTGCTTCTGCGACTTTGGGGCTTCACTGCTTCTGCGACTNCTGCCTGCCGACCCTCACGACTGTAGGGAAGGTAAATGTGGAGCCGTTTTTCCAGACTTTATGTAAGAGGTGGATTAGCTCACGTCTGACGTTACGTAATTGAGGCTGCAGGGTCTCCGAAGCCACGTGTTCTGGATGATGGACGGCTTGGGAGATGGAAGGGCGTAAAAAAAATACATTCTGTAGCTGCAAAGCAAGTGAGACAGGTGCAGGGAAGGTAATAAATGTAGGGTTTGTACAATATAGTCAAGGCCTCAGAGGGACACAAATCACAGCATCACTGGGCTTCTAGAAGTCGCTGGGAATTGATTGATGAAATGGACAGAATGGAACTGGGTTGTTTTATTCTCGCTGACACAATGGGGGGATGGCGGGGGGCAGGGTGGTGGGGGGGGGTTTGGGAAGAGCTGTTTTCATGTTGTCAGCTCAGGGCCGTGAAGCAAACGGGGAGTCCACCCTTTTGTCAGGCACATTTTTTATCAGCGTTAAAATAAATCACAGCTATTGTTTGAAACATGTCCGCTCCTCCTCCCCGTCGTCCCCAGTCGATTGCGTGTCGTATCGAAGCACCCAATGAAAAGCTGTGATGCATGATGTGTCCTGCTCCTGTCTCTGAAGGGGGGGTGTTTCATTACAGGGTTTTTTATTTTTGACATACGCTGGGTCACAGGAAGGGGCAGAATCACGGGGTCTGTAGTAACGGTGCCCGCCTGAACCCGAGTGGCGCTGTGCCGTGCCTGTGGTGATGATGGCGTCGTGCCCAAGGCCTTGCCCGTTAGGTGTGGGTGGCTTTCGGGAGCCGTGGGCCTCAGGACTTTCCTTAAACATCCTGACACTGTCGCCCTTACTGCTGGGCTGCTGGTGGCTCGTCATGCTGAATTATGTATGACTCTCTGCTTCAGTCTGCAATCTGCTACAACAGCATCAGCATATTTTGTGATGAGTTGGTTAGTATTTTGTTACTATACTTTCCTACTATATTTCACAAATTTACTAGACACGTTTGTCCAAAGTGACTTATTCTAAAGATACGTGCCATCGAAGATGTGACCTAGGTACAGTATATGTGTGGCTAAGCTGATCTCCCATGAACGCCCATGTACTGTAAAGTGTAAGCAGTTTTGGAGCAGGAGCTACAGAACAGCTTCTAACAAAGCAAGAAGCTAATGAGCTATTGTAATAACTCAATGCTGGTAAATACGTTTATCAAAGGTAACATGACGATTTGAGTCTCACATTCTGTTTACTTGTTTTCCCATTTGAATAATTCAGGCAATGTATATTTGCTAAATATATATCTCCTTAAGGGTACAACAGCCAGATCCCCGCTGGGATTTGTACCCTCAGTGGTGCGTGTCCCCTGTGCCCCACAGTGCGGCGCTGTGGCCCGCTGACTCCGCCCGAGAACGGCTACATGAAGTGTGACAGCGACACGGACAACTATGGTGCCACCTGCATGTTCTCCTGCATGGGCGGGTTCGAGCTGCAGGGGAGCAGCGCCCGCGTGTGCCAGTCCGGCCTGACGTGGGCCGGCGCCGAGACGACGTGCTTACGTGCGTGGCCACGCCCCCTCTCCCTCTGCCCCACCCCCTGCATCCCAGATCCTCCTACTTTACATATTTCACATCTTCTGTTAGCATAGGAGGTATGTCTTGTTCTTCACACCTACGAGGCGATGAGGAGGGGGGAATGATAGGCCGAAAGAGAATCATGGGGAGAAATTGGGGGGTGACAGCATGGATGGAGACCAGGTCCAGAACCTTTTCTTCGAGGTCAGCTAAGCAGCTTGGTGGAATGTGTGGGGTCTGTTCAGTGGAGGTCCATCGATTGAGGAGGCTTTGAGAGCGAGTGAGGTATGTGTCTCATGTGGCCTGTAAGACCTCATTACAACTTGGAGTGGTCTGGCTGACATCCGGCAAACGCAAGGAGCTCGGGTGGGCGGGGGGCGGGTTGTAATGGGGTCACCATCAGAGTGCTGTTGCCAAGACAGCATCTTATTGTGAGAAGTTCCCCAGAAGTGAGAATGGGTTGTAGGGGATGGGAGCAGGTTTTATCGACCGGAACGTTCCAGGGATCGATAGAGAGGGACAGTGGGCACATCTGGGAAGATTAACTCGGCCTGGTTGGATATCTTGCTCAGGCCGAGAGTGAAGCGTTATAGCTTTTGGCAAGGATTATGGCAGCATGCTACATTTAGATGGCAAAATAACTTTAATTAGTCACACTACGGTGGGGATCATTAATTGAATAGAATTTATTCATCCCTGTGGGGAAATTTTCTCATTGCCTATCCCAAGCCCAGCCTGGAGGAGGCGCAGAACCAGCTGAAACCAGCGACCTTCCGATCACAGGCACAGAGCCTGAGTCCGCTGAGCCATATATAATTAGCCTAATTAGTCTTAAAGAAAGTTTATCCATAGAACCCTTAGGTGTGGATGTCGGACCATTTGGGAAGTGGCATTGTCTTTGGAGCCAGGCGTCTGTGTGAGTTTGTGTGACTGTGACCCCCCCCCCCCCCCCCCACCAGCCATGAACATCAACGTGGGTGTCCGCTCCGCGGCAGCGCTGCTCGACCAGTTCTACGAGAAGAGGAGGGTGCTCATCGTGTCTGCCCCCACCGCCGCCAACCACTACTACCGCTTCCAGATGGACAATCTGCAGGTGGGTGGGTGGACAGCTGACTCTGGATCAGTTTGGGGAGGGGGGTTACCTCACAACAATGTGTTTTTCTAGACTTTTTATTTAAACTTTACAGATGTATTGTTTCCGACTATAATGAACACTTTGAATGTCCTTTTTCATATGTAAAGTGTGACATTTTAAGCCCCCATACTGTGCACGTTGTTTTTCTCTCTGGGGGCGACTGCTGATTTGCCAAAATGCAGCATGTTTTGAAACGTGGCCTCCTTGACATTCCCTGAAAGCCTGCTGTCCTCAGCACGCACACAGCACCAGCCACCCATCTGGACGGTCGCCTGTTTGCAGTTTTAATGGTTTCCTGTGAAACAGGAAGAGCTGCGAAACCAGTATTTCTATTTGGTGGGTCTGTTTTTTAAAATAAACAGTTTTTAAAATGGCGTCGTCAAAGCGCACCAACAGTAACATCTGTCATAACAACGAGGATAGTACTGACAGTGTGAATCATCCAGATGGACTGAATTTTGCCCCTAGATCAAACTCTTCCCCCTTGCAATCGTTATCATTATGAAATTTCAAAAGACGCATTGATTCTGAGCATTCTGTTAAGTTATGTTGGGAAAGAAGATTGGGGTTAATGGGGCTGTTAAAGGCCATTAACTGTAGGGCCTTTAAGGGTTGGGGGGGGGCGAGATCCAAAGCAGAGTGCCTGTCTGTGCGCGTGTCTCTCTGTGCACGTCTCTCTGTGCATCTCTCTGTGTGTGTCTCTCTGTGCATCTCTATGCGCACGTCTCTGTGCATCTCTCTGCGCATATCTCTCTGTGTGTGTCTCTATGCGCACGTCTCTGTGCATCTCTCTGCGCATATCTCTCTGCTTGTGTCTCTATGCGCACGTCTCTCTCTGTACATCACTCTGTTTGTTTGCTTACACTCTTGCTGTCTTCCAGCATTCCCAGTGCGGCCTGGACCTCCGGCACATCACAGTGATAGAGCTGGTGGGCACATACTCGGCACAGATCGGCCGCATCCGACACAGAATCATCCCTCCCGCTCTGGCCCTACAGCTCAGGTACCCAATGCATGCCGGGACACAAAAACAGAATAAAATTATACAGCAACGTGGCCTTTAATCATTTTGTCATTTCTGTTCTTAAGTTTACTGATATGTAAAGAACAGGTGTTTTGTTGACGCATTTCAGTTGCTGTGGGGAGGGTTTCTGTTTCTAAGTTACGGGTAAGAAAGGGTTCTGAGATATAAAGCTACTATAATTTAGCAATAATTTAACATTTGCTGATATTTTTTCTATCAAAAGCCATAGTTTCTATTAATTACTATAGGTGGATGTTTTACTGAGTCAGTTCATACAATCTACTGCTCTCAAAGGTAAAACAGCAGCTCACCTTAAGACACCTGTTACTTTGTTCCAGTCCCACTTTAATCTAGCCGTGTGCCATCTGCTTTTGCGGAGACACGCTCGCTGTAACAGTGTGCACACCTCTGCCACCCCAGGCTGCTGCTGCAAATCTCCCAGAGCAGCTACAACATGGTGCTGCTGGACAAACAGGGCGTGGACAAGATGCGCTACACCTTTCCCATCACGGCCGCTGAGCTGTTCACCACCATCGACACCTTCCCGCTGCGCAAGGACGAGATGCTGCTGCAGCAGCAAGCTGGCCAGAGCTGCCAATCCTAACCCTCCTGGCCATGTTTCTCCCGCCTCTGCTCCTCTCCGATTGGCTGGACCACTGTGGGGGTGTGGTCAGGAAGCCTATGTCCTGCCCTCCTCCCCAATAACAGAGACCAGCAATGAAGCGACCACAGATTTAGAGGACCAGCTTGGAGGTGTGGTGTAAACTTGCAGCTTGCAGTGTTCTTTACCACGGGACCTAGCAGAGTCACTGCTATTTGCCTACCCTCATCCTTGTCCCCACCATGTCGCATGGCCATTAACATTCGCACCAAAGGCATTCTGGGTACTCAGTATGCATGACTTTTGGAATTGTTTTGTATGCCTCGTATTCATTTGGGGTTTTTATTAAGATGGAATACGGTTTTTACCTATTACAGTTCTCTGAAATTCCATGCTAAAGTCATCCATGTAATTAATATTTATGTTTTTACAAAATTAAACATCACAGATCTTAGATATTACGAATTTTTGCTGTTGGATTTGCGGCTGTGGCTTCTACTGGTGCAGAGGTGTTTCTGTGACATCAAGAAATAAAGTATCTCTGCTCAGTGTCTGTGGCGTCATGCTGTAAGAACAGCAGCAGGACTGAAAGAGCAGGCATTAAAATGTGCACTGACCAGGTCTGCTGTGTACAGTTAACAGACACATAAGAGAAAAACAACTCAACTCGTGTTTCACTGCGCTGTGCTTTGCCAGGGTATTCCTCACAATGACTGCAGTGTGTAAGTGTGTGTACCCCTGTGTCTGGGTGCCTTTCTGTGTACGCGAACTCGCACCACGAGAACTAATCCACCACAGGTACAGACAGGGTGCAGTCGCAGATGGCAGAATATTTTTATTTTGGCAAAATAGTCTAACGACACATTAAGGACAAAAGGCAAATGACTGTGGATGAATTTCAATTTATGCGAGACTCATTTTGTTTCACAGACACAGCGGGTACGTGTCCTAATGAGAGTGGCTGTTTTCAGGAAACTGACCAAAGTATTGCACTTATTACTCAGGAAAAACAGCAGAACACAAAGGACGTGACAGCCACATGAGATTAAATAATACAGACAATATATATATATATATATATATATATATAATTTTAGGTAATGAAAATACATAGAACACCGTAAAACACAAAATCCTGATGCTTTTCGCGGGGGGCGGTCCTTAAACTTTTGTTCCAGCACTTTCTGTGATGTCTGAAGAAATCCAGAATATCACCAGGGCTTGTTCAGATACGATTCTGTGAAACTGATAACTGGGTCGGTTTATAAGGTGGAGGGGGCACATTTTTAACGAGCTGGTGGATCGCCCCCCCAAGAAACCACAGATGGCAGGCCTGATTTTAGATGAAAAGTTTACAATTGCAACTGAAATTAACAGCTCCCTGTACATCAGAAGGTAGTCTGATCTGTCTGTATTGTTTGTGTATCCTGCCTGGGTTAACTCCCGTCTAGATAAAACGACCCCCCAACTGTAACCCCACCCTCCCACAAAGCTCCACCATCAAAATCCATCTCTTCAAAAACAGCTGTTCTCACCTTAAAGAATTTCACAGATTTACATCACATAAGTGTTTAACATATGACAAGTTTTGATTCCATTATAAAAATATAAATTAACTTCATGTGTAAGAAACGTGTATTTCGTATATTAGTAATAATTGCTAATTTCTGCTGAACACTGGGCTCCCTTGTGATTAATTAGGTTCACACAGTTACCCCGGCGCTACTCTACATAAAGCTGATTCAAGATAATACTGTTACCATGGAGAAAAGAATTAGTAACTAAGTCAGGAATAAAACAGATAAATCCATTAGAAAAGGCAGAAGCCGCAAATCCAGTCGCCGCTCGGTAACGTTTGGCCCATTTTACGCCAGCACCATGGCTGTCTTAAAGCGTCCATCGAAAGCGCACCGACTTCACCGTTTTTGCCTCCCCAAATGGAGATGCCTCACTATCCGCCCCCATATCGTCTTGTATTGCCATTGTGGTGTTTATTCTAAATGTGTAAAAATATGTTTACTCAAAGCCTGCTAGATAGCTACGATCTATACTATCTATACTAAAATCTAGCTATACTAAAATCTATACTATAGATCTATACTAAAAACTGTGCCCTAGCTCTGTGCTTGAACTGAAATAGCTATGATCTAGACTGACATCTAAACCTAGATAGATATGCATTATCTATCTTGCTGAACTATTTTTGCCACATACTTAGCTAAATAGCTAGGTACAATGATTTTGTTTTAGTTGTGTGAAATGCACACAGCTCACTAGTGAGTTATGGTCAGTGCCTGCTCTTGGCTGCATGGACTTGTATTGCATTTTCACTACAACGGTGACATACGTCCCCTGCGGACGGCGGCAGCGGCAGCAAAACAAATGCAAATGTAGGTTAATATCAACCTGTAGCTCAAGGTTATAGTATATTTTTGCAAACTATCTTGTTGTTCTGATGTAATGACATGTTTTTTAACTCAACATTTTTAACTCAGATTTTGTAAGAAACATGGCCTGTGCATCAATAAAACAATCAAAATACCTAAACTTGCCCAAAAATGCACATCCAGCCGTCTGTCTACCCCGTCATCCAGTTAGGATCTGTGTCAAAGCATCATTTCAAATGTGCCTTCGATAGTTCAGGCTGCCAGTTTGAATCTGTCTACCCCTGGGATCAATAAAGTATGTCTTTTTAATTAAGTTTTTCCTTTCTATTATATGTCCAAAAAAGATATATACTTTTAAGAATAGTGTAAACCCCATACACAGCCCCATATACATGGGGCTTTAAATCTTCACTGTATATATGGTGTGCATATTGCTTTTCTGTTAGAACCAGGGTGGGCCCTATCTATTCAGGGGCCCTAGGCAAAGCTGTACTTGGGAGGCCCCCCCACCTAGAAAATCATGATCTTTTCACTTCCTCGGCAACGCAGGTCATTCGGGGGCCCTTGGTAACTGCGTATGGTGCCTATAGCTAGGGCTCCATCAAATGGGCCATTGTGGACGTTTTTGTCCATTGTTCTGATACCAAAGGTAAATTATTCATTCTGCTCTATGTGTTCAGTTTGGTACGTTTCTCAGTCGCACATCGGATTCCAGTATGCATCGTCCTTTTGCAGTGGAATCAGTGCTGACATCCTCGGTCATGTTTTCCCAAAGCTACCCATGCGACAGCACAGTCTTCTATTGCCTGACATTGCTGTAGACGGGATGAGGGCCCAGCGTCGCTTGACTGACATCCCACAACACACCCAAGCTGCAGCTGTGGAGCTTGGGGCTGTCCTGGGTAGCCGTTGGCTTTGATTGAGACAGGAGGTCCTATGTAGTCTCTCAGTCCTTGTGCTTGCCCATGTTGGACCTCAGCATCAGAGTACACTCCTGTGGGACCTCCGAGTTGTCAATCATGCGTTGCCATAGCCGCTGCTCCTCCCCGTAGGAGTCCATCCAGTCTACCTCCTTGCCATAGCTCAGACCTGAGAAAGGAGCCCCAAGTTAGTGTTCATTCTGCTTGGTTCCTTTAAGCTGCTCTGCAGGATTTTACTCTTGTAATTAATGTAACTCGGGCATGTAAACTGTCTACAACAACTGCAGAGTCTGGCACTTTTTGGTAACTATTAATTATGTAATGTAATCATTCTCCAACCGTGCCTCCCACCCCTCGATGTGACTGATGTACCTCGAGATAATTGCTTATTTTACCTGACTGCCTGTTTTTAGGGTACAGTAGAGGTCACCATGCAGAGATGCATGTCTCACTGAAGTACATCTGTAGGCACTCAGCAAGCCTGAAGGAGGCGCTAATGGGGCAGCCAGCTGAGTCACATGACACCCCCCAGTGCAGATGCTCCAACATCCAACTCACCGGTACCAGCACAAAGCCTCACGCCCCCCAGGAACACGTTGCTGGAGAGGGACTCCTTGTCCCAGACTGTGAGCTCTAGGCAGACATTGTTGAGGTCGCTAGGCTGCAGACCACAGTACGTGAAGGTGTGGTTCCACTTTGGGTTTAGGTTCTTCTTCACCACGGCTGTCTTGTGCTTCGTCGACTTGTTATCGTCTGGGAGGAGGTAACTGCAATCCGCAAGAGACGGATGGTTAGCATTCCATACTCTTTTGCTAAACACAGGCCTGGTAGAATATCTCCTTTATCCCTGAAGATGCCTGTAAAAATATCAGCTGAAACCTAATGGGAAGATCATAAAATCTGGGCGCTTCTCAATACTGAGAATGCAAAGATTGTACTTGTGGTCTTGGCAAGACAAGTCTTGCTAACTTGCCTCCAAACAACAAACTTAGGGTACAATGAATCATGGGATAGGTCACGTTTCAAGAAGATGCAACCGATGTGTCCTTGATATCTGGGGTGGGGCAAGAACAACATCCAGGGATTTTTACCGTCCTCTGTACTTCTGTTCTTGGGTATTGAAACAGGTCTTTGGCAATGGAAGACGACATAAAACAGGTACGGTCAAGTATGCACATTGAGAAACACCCTTTGACTTCTTCCACCTACCCTTTGACGAAAGCATCTGATGTCCCTCCGGATTTGACAGCTGTCAGATTCTTAGCCTCCTTGACAAGAAGTTCCACCATCCCACCTTGGGGCAGCTTGATGTTGGACTTCTTTCCTTTCAAAAACCCTTTCTTAACTGTCAGGGAGAAAATGCCAGGACTCAGTGGGGCAACGGCACACAAAGGTGCTCAAAGGAACTGTTCATTTTCCAGTCTTATCTGCCACAAACTGGTCCTGCGAGCTGATTATATGCAAAGGACGTCCTAATAGTTTTAACTATTCAGTATCTCCCGGGCTGATCAGGTATGAAAGGGATACAGGTAAAGGACTATAGATTTGTTAAATGGAACTGGTGCAGAGTGCAAAACAGAAATAGAGACAGGAAGGTCACTAAAGGGCATGGAATGTCAGCAGGAAACCATAATATCACATGAGTAGGAGGTACACTTACCTTGCACCTGGTCTAGAGGCAGCATGAGGTTCTTCTCTGCAGGAATGTACTTAAGAACTACAGTGAGCTCTCCCTTATATTGAAATGAGGTGTCTGGTCCAGTGTCCGCCTGGAAGACACCACACACACGAAACAGCCATTGATATACACACAAACATGTGGCATGGAAGAGGAGATTATAGCAGAAAAGGTCTGGTTGTAGGATTTGGATAAGGGGGCGGCACTGGATTTGTTGAGTCACTTTAGATGCCGGTACCCAATGGGTTTTCCTCCCTCTGTGACTAATCGATCTGTGAGAGACATGAGCAGGCTCACCTTAGGCTGTAGGGGAAACCACTCCTCCATCTGCTTCTCAAAGTCCCAGGAGTCGAAAGGCACCTCCACCTCGCCCAGGAAGCGGTTGTGCCCGAAGCGATCATTGTGCCACACAGAGAGCTGAAGTGTCCGCATCTCCAGCTGTGAATGGCTGATTACGTACTGGGGGGTGATACAAGCAATTGGTCACTCAAACAACACCTGACAGCAAGCTCCAGCTGGGAGTGGATGATTGCACACTGTGGGTGGAGCTTGAAAGTTACCCTCCTACATAACCTACACTACCATACTCTGCATGACTATTGAGGGTCCCCATCTGTCACACACCCACAAAATGGCTCATCTATGCCTCAGCTGGCTTTTGTCGTCGCTTCTCTTTCTGCACATAGTCACCCTCCCAGTGTGGGGAAGTGGAGACCAGAAACCACAAAGTTTAAGTCCCACTTGAAGGAACCCCGCCAGACACCATTCCTTGTGAAAATGTGTCAGAAGTGCGTGGCTGTGAATTTATATTCAGGAGTTCTGCTCTTCACTCGGGGAGACTCTCTACCGGGCTGCTCTAGGGGACGATAGCGCCAGGTGACATATTCATAGGTACCTGTTTTTATATCTTGGATTACCCCTGCAAAAGGCGACTCTAACTGCCTCTCCTGTGATGCAACGGGAGATTTTGACAAGAGCTGGGGAGCCTCGTCACGTATTCGCTAACCTTCAGGGTCTCGTTGAACACCGGATCAGTGGTGTTGGTCCGGATGCTGGTTTTCCTCTTGCTCTGGCGGGACTTGTCCGGTAGCAGGTACGTCTTGACATAGCTTGTGGGGGCAAAAAGAGAGACACCATCATCACTGTTCCAAGTCCATCATTCTTAATAGCTCTCAGAGAGCTGATTGCATGCATATTTAAACATGTTATAGCATACGGGTGAAGGGTGGTGTACTGGTTATAGACATTGACTTTTCTGTACAGTGGTTAATGTGAGATGCTAAACCACGCCCCCTCTCTCACGGGTAAACCACGCCCCCTCTCTCACGGGTAAACCACGCCCCCTCTCTCACGGGTAAACCACGCCCCCTCTCTCACGGATCAGTGCGCTGCTTCCTCTCGTCGCCGACAGCCAGGTTGTGACATTCCTTCACCAGCACGTTCAGCGCTCCCGTCTTGTAGCTGTAGGAGATGTTGAGCAGTATCTCGCCGCTGATGACGGTGTGGTCATAGTCTCCAGTGTCGCTGTAAACGCTCATCATGCTGTTGAGGCTGCTCTGTGGGCCCAGGCAGAAGGAGAGCGAAGCTCAGAGCAGATAAGGCTGGAAGCGGACTGTTCCGGAAGCGAGGGAAGGGTGCATCTTGTGAGCAGCATTGTCCGGGCAGGTTAGGAAGATTCACGTGTTCATTGAGACAGATTTGAAACCTGTTACAGACTACGTGCTAATAATCTCCATTTAGGAGGCGAACTAGATGGTTATGTAAATTAGACACGGCCAGTTATATAAATTAATAAACATGAAATTTTCAAGAGGACACTTATTAGTGCTGACACATGATTCAACGGGACAGCGAAGAGGAGAGGGGGAAGCTTCTGTTACAAAAGCCTGCATTACTAATTGGTAAATCTGTATCACCGAAGCATCTAATTATTATACATAAAGAGAAGATGACTGAACCAGGAAAAGCTGACAGGAAGAACAAAAGAAAGGGAGATATAGGGATGACAGAGGGAGCAGAGAGAGCACAGAACACTCACGGTCTCAGCGTCTGAGTCTGGAACATTCAGATGGGACCATTTCCTCTCTGAGCCTGGTGGAGTGGACTAAGACCCAGATTGTAGGGAGAGGAGGAAGAGGAAGAGGGAAGTAACGGTTGGAAACAAAGGTTGTAGAAGAAACAGTCAAGAGTAGTAACCACGGCGATAAAAGTCCCCGAGGAAAAGGCAGGAGGGAGTAGCTTTGTGAGACAAGAGGCCATAAATATCCACTTTGAGTTGTATTATTGTAGGTGTCAGTCGCTGCCTGGTTTGACCCAATTATGACAAAGTAACTGATATGAATATGAGAGTACGAGAGCATGAAAAGGTCCCATGTCTTCAGGAGCAGTGGGGCTGACATTCACGTCAACCTCAACCAGCCTAGATGAGCAAGAATCTGTCAAGCGGGAAATATTACACTAACTCTAAAGATTCAACTGATGATGATTAAAATGCGGGCCTAAATCAGTAAATCTTTTTAGTCTTATCCATAAAGGGCTATTGTGTGTGCAGGTTTTGGCTGCAGCTCCCTAATGAGAGACCTAATTAGAGAACTGATTGGCTGAAGCGTCCTCACACCTGACCTAAATGTTATCCTAAAAACCTGCATATACACCGGCCCTTTGCCGATGTGATTGCCCACCCCTGCTGCATATACACCGGCCCTTTGCCGATGTGATTGCCCACCCCTGCTGCATATACACCGGCCCTTTGCCGATGTGATTGCCCACCCCTGCTGCATATACACCGGCCCTTTGCCGATATGATTGTCCACTCCTGATCTACGTGATGTTTCGGTGCATTTAAGCTCGGCAGTTTCCCAAAAGACAACAAGAAATCCAGGGAATAAGTCACTTAATGATGTGGGTGTACATTGAGTTTAGTCGTGTTTCATCCCTCACCATAAATCTCAGAGACACATGATTGGATTAGTCTACCAGCAACCCACAGGGGACCCACAGGGGAAAATGGCAAATGACAGAGAGAGTGCAAGTTAATCTCCATCCTCTCAATTCTCAGGGAAATGGGGGCGGCCCAACCGGCCAATTAATCACGTCAGCTGCGATATTGTTAATATCCCCCTGACAGATGCTCGCTGCGGCATCAAAGACTTGTTCTTTGTCATAAGGCTGGAGAAGTTTCGGCTGCCGGAATACAGCTCAGCGGGGCACATAAAACTTACGCTACGGTCGTCTGCTCTCATGTGACAGATAACAATGTGTCAGGAACAAAACACTGGCATTTTGTATTAAGTTGTCAACACTGCAGTGAGACATATATGGGGACTTTTATTTTGATATGGGTTCTTACTGTAGACAGGGCACTGTTCATGTGCCTGTGGGTCCCCAGGTTGTACTCAGACATCAAGGTGTCGATATCTTCTTCCCTCTCATCGTAGTCCTGAGGAATATACCATTCGGTTACACGGGGGGTTATGCAATAGCAGAGTCCAGCATGGTCTAATCTGGAGTGGTGCTGAAATTCACACACACATACAACCAAACTGGGTATTCCATAAAACATTGTAATGGAACACTTTATTTCTTAGATAAGCCAGTCTCATCAAAGAGATTAAAACATTTTAAAGCGATGAAAACATCTCAAGTGTCTCCAAAAATGGCAGAAAAATGCTCTTTAGACTGGATCCTTATCAAACAAATGAGCAGGCCAAGTTTCTAATGCAAAATATTTTGTGCATATAGATCATAGAGCAGAAGCCGACATTTATCACGGTAAGACATTGATGATCCCGCTGCTGCTATACATTCAGCTGTGTGAGGTTTACTAGGCGTGGGCAATAACCCGTCCACACAGAGCATGGTAAGCATGGAATTGTGGGTAGGTCACTCACAGGGTCGTTCAGCTCCCCGGGAACGGAGCGGCTCCGCAGGCTCAGCGAGTCTCCACCCAGCTCGGCAGAAGGGCCAGTGAGGTCCACCTCAGATCGGCTGCGATCTGGACCATGCCAGAGTCGGGGATGGACATGAGAGAGAGAGAGAGAGAGAGAGAGAGAGAAGCACAGAGAGAGAGGGGGAGAGGAGACGGGGGGTTTACTCTCAAATCGACATCAGCACATGCAAATGTGAAGAAAATTTAAATTATTAATTGAAGTTATGCATTTTGCAGGTAATTCTCTTAATCCAATGGGAAGCAATATCTTTAACCATGGTGTTCAACCAATCAGAGACTGACACTGTACCACAATGCCATCCACTGCGCTGAGCCTGCGTGCCGTGGATGTGGCAGAGTACCTGAGGAGAGTGAGGCTCTGGACACGGAGATGCTGGGGGCTGTGGACTCGGCCCTGGGGTGCCTGGCAGCCATTTTGTCTGGGACGCTCTCACTGGCGTGGAAGCTGGCCACGCTCTCGGCGCCGTCCGGCTGAGGGAGAAGCACCCAGCAATGAAGCAGAAAACTCCGTCGCCCACAAGCACTTGGCTCATGGCCTGGGCTGATCTAAATATGGTGGTTTGATGAATGACTGTTGATGACTAGACTAAACAGAGGTCCTTATTCATGTGCAGTGGGTCATGTGACCTGGTAATGCTCTCCACTGCACTTACACATTACATGCAGTGTTCGGGGTTTCAGGCATGGGCTTTACCCGTCTGCTGGTCCCAGAGGCAGTGCTGCGGTTGCTGGGGCTGGGAGACCTGCCGATGGCCTGGAGCCGCAGGTTGTTGGGTATTGCTGGCATCCCGGTGGACTCCACAGCCATGATGCTCCCCCTGCTGGTGGGTGGTGATAAAATCATGTTGACATGGGTAAAAAAATGCCCAAGTCTCTCACAGGATAAGGGTGTAACAGGCTGTTTCTTTCGGGCCTCACTGTTGCGAGCGGGGTGTGGAGCGGGCACTGTGTACGCTGGGGGCGTTCAGGTCCGGGTTCGAGCCCATGCTCCTGGAGTCCTCAACCCGATCAGACCCCACCTCTGCCTTCAGTGCTGCTCGGCCATTCCTCTTATCTAGGTTCATCCTGCACAGTTACCATTAGATTTTACTACATCCACTGGACCCTTATTCAAAAGCAATTACTACTGACACATCTAAGGGCCTTAACCACAACGCCACCTAGTGGCTGTGTCTCTACTGCCAGGGGGTTTCTCTAGTCATAGAGTTACTCATAACTAAAGATGAATTTATAAAAATCCATGTATTTGCCAGTCAACGATGCCTCCTTGAGAAGCAAAGTGTGGTCCCACGACCCAGCGCCCCTTTGTGGCCTCACCCCTGCCTTGCGTTTCTCAGGGCGCTCCGCAGGCCTTGTCTGCCTGATTTCGGCGTGTCCGGTCTGTCTTCCAGCCTCACGTCAGGCTGCGATTTTGCGTGGTCCACCTTTTGGTCTACTATAAAACGGGAAAACGGTCTCAGACAAAGTGCAAAAAAGAAAAAAAACCAGTCGATATCCAATTTGTTCATAGAGACCCCCGAGGAAGAACCCAGCTCGGCGGGAATGACGGCACAAAGCAGCAGCTATTAACTTCCTGTGTGGGCTGCTTCAGTCTCTGCAAACTCGTAATTAGGCTTCCAGAACTCTCTGACTGGCTGTCTAAGTCAGCTGCAGTCATTCTACACATCCTGTCCCTTTGCCGGTGCCTGTCAGTGAAAGCGCGAACCTCGCAAGCAACCTCACAGGGAAAGACTACAGAGCAGCATTCCTGCCCCCTCACTCTAACCCCCCCGCCCCCCCCAAACAGGTAATAAAGTCATACATCCTATACACAACCCACAGGCTCAAAGACACACAGAGGGGAAGGTGGAGCTTCCAAAAAAACCTGCAGCGAATACCTGGCACGTCCTTAGCTTTTTGCTTAAATTAGCATCTTGCTAATTTTACGCTTTCTGCTACCTCCCCCTTTTCTGATTTCATCGGAAAGTGCTGCCTGGCCACCGACTGCTAGCCGGTTGGATTTCTGGGATGTCTGCCGCATGTTTCTGTCTCATGCACCACAGGGAAGGGGAATCCCAGCATGGATAAACCCCCCCTCACCCCGACCTCCACCCCCTCATCAGGACCTCATCCTCCTCCTCGGAGGAGGCTGGTTATATTTAACAGCCTAGGCTGGATGTTCTAACAGCCATGCCGCCAAGCCGGCTAATGCATGTCTTGTGTGCAATATGCCTCTTTTTAATGAGAACAGAATGTTTCTGGTGTGAAAACGAGGTGCAGCGAGGTGAAGGCCAAGGGAACTCGGCTTGTAAAAGAAACAGACAACAATGAATGAGAACGTGCCCAGAGAGCTGAGAAGAGTGAACACATTTCATTTGCTGTCCTTGTTTTCCAACACAGAGACTGAGAAGGTCCCTTTATTAAGTTTGCTACTGGTTTATTGCCTGTCATTTTCCCATAGACTCAAGCATCTCGTGACCCTCACCATGTAGATAGATGGATGTTACTCATGGAGTAAACAGAGATTAGCCATCTTCCTTTATGCGGGAGGAGCTTACGGATTTCAGGACCTGTTGGGGTAAATCCTGCCAACTGCCTTGTGCAACTGCACAAATCATACGAAGTTTACATCTCTCCACTGCTTATTATCTTTGCACTATTTTTCTACTGCCTGTTTGCACCTTGCACGCCCTGTTACTGTGATGCTAAGTGTACTATATGTTACTATAAGTTGCCATGGAGAAACGTTGTTTCATCACTCTTTGTACATGTATGTAGCTGCTGATGACAATAAAGTAACTTTGAACCTTTGTTCTGTTCATCAGGTGGAGAGTGACAACTATTTCCTTGACAGGGAGGATTGTGGGAAGGTTTATGGCTCACCTGGAGGACTGCTGAGGATGGTCTGCTTGACCACGTCGCTGCTCAGGACGTTGCCCTGCGAGAAGCGCTTGGCTCGCTCCTCCAGGAACCACTCGCCCGTCGCCACCTTCAGCTCCCTGCCGACCAGAGGGAAGACGGGGCCAGCGGTCAGGCCCGAGCTGCGACTCGCAAGCGTGGACAGAGGTGGCTCAGCGGTCTGCAAGTTCTTCGGGAACCAGGATGTGATGGTGTAACCTACACCTCGAAACCTTATTATTGGTGCCCGTCAACTTTACAGGCCCCCAAGGGGGTGGGTGGGGTGGTACTTACAGGATCTTGGTACAAACGGTACAGCGCCACCTGCCTTTAGCCAGTGGCATACGGCAGGAGCTGCACACGCGTTGCAGGCAGTCCTCACACAGCTCGCCGCGCTCGAACACCAGGCCCAGCGACCGCTGGCAGCGCATGCACTGCCGCTCGCCTTCCTCCTGGTGGCGCCGGCGGCCCTTGCGCTTCATCTCTAACAGCTCGTTCTTCAGTTTCCTGGGATGGGCAGGGCTAGGTTAGCACTTCTGGGCGGAGGGCCGTGACCCCTGACCGGAGAGGCAGACCAAGACCTCACCTTATCCGTTTCTCCTCGAGTTTCCGGAGTTTCTCATCCTTCTGGAGGACCTTCAGAATGACCTCCCTCTCATGCTCCATGAGGAAGGACAGGTTGAGTTGCTCTGCAGTTTTAGCCATATCTGTGATCGATGACTCGAGTCTGTGACTGGTGTGCCTCCCTGTTGCCGTGGGAGACGGCGCGTTCTGGCCGGGTGAAGACAGGGAGACGTTGTCGCCTGCAATCTCAAGCCGCTGGTCCTCTGCCGGATCGCTTCAGGTGTTTCCGCGGACGCGACGCCCACTCAGGGACTCCATGGTGACGTACGCCGCTATTACAGTGACCACCGGGCTGGCAGGGAGCTGGCAGCCTCGTCCACTCGCCCAATCTCCCACACGTATCCCAGCATGACACCAGTACTCCTGTCCGAACGTGAGGAATAGCCCAGACATCAAAGTCACCTTCCATTCTGCTCCTGGCCAAAAGAAATTAACATCTACTAATAGGTTAGCAGGAGATAAAAAATAGATTGCGTCTAATTAATCCATATGTCATGATTAGCCGTTGATTAATTCTTAATTAATCTTGAAAAATAATGTTTTGAGCCATGATTTTTTTTCCCCCTCTCTTGGGTTGATAATCCTTAAGCCACTGAGAGCCCTGCAGCAGCAGTCCATCCATCCATCGCAGTAATGACTCTTCCTGAGGACGGCATTTTGAATTCAGCATTTTAAATGTCACTCTGCCTCCCCCGTTTTCATGGGGAAGGTTGGAGGGTGAATGTTAACAAGCTCGTTAATGAGTAGCATTAGAATGTTCCCGAGTGTTCCGTGCGACGCACGTGCCCTCCCTGCCCCCCTCGGACATACGCGGCGTGACGGGAAAATAGCCAGGGCTCATTATCACGTGGCAAAGCTGTCACATGCAGTGACATCGAATGGCGGCTGGGCCACTGTCCCCGCAAGCAGGGCACTGTCCCAGAATCCACCTGGCATTGACAAATTTGCAGTCAGACACCGGACCACGACTACTGGAATTGATTAACCTGAACGGGTGACCGACTGTAAACGTCACGTATTGCTCTGGGCATTTTAGATTTCTCCGGTAGTCAATCAAGAACAGAGTGACACATTTCTTTTCATACATTAAAAAAAATCGAAAATTGAATGCAACACACCACACACAAATTATCCACCTTGATGAAGACTTTTGCACAGCTATATACTAACATTAAAAAACATAAAAATTGAATTTTTGCTTTTTCATGACCTCGGTGCTTTCAGGTGAGAGGTTTTACAGACTATGATTAGTCTTTCCTCATATGATAAAAAACGTACCAATCAAACAGCAGATTCACGCCACCAGTCACAAAACAAACATCCCCCTCATTGGCTGGAAGCCTGCCCCAGTTATCCCAGCAGACTGCTATATGCTTTAATTAGCTCCTGTTTGACACCTGGAACACCAGGTGCATTCGCTTACTGTCCAAATGATGGCTTAGATGAAGTAATTAAGGGCTGAGTTTGAGTAAAAGCACTACAGGCAGGAAGTGAGGAGATGAGGGAGGGGTACACCTAAACCCCCGGCGTCACCCAAGCTCAGTGCGCCCCCTAGGGACTGGTGTCAGGAGAAACAACCAGCAAGCGCAATTTAAAAAAATCAGGTTCACAGGTTTGAAACTCGGCAGTCGTTACCTTTTCTACTTCCGAGTTCAGGCCCTGGCTTAACGCCGAAACGGCATCGATGCGCTTCCAAAGCTGGGCTTAAAGAAGGAAATGCATTCTTAATCAGTGTTAATTGTTTTGCTTTTCAAGTTGTATCGTCCTGCTGTTTTACTTCACTGGAGAAACTCTTTATGCAGATGACAGCTCATTAAAAACAGTTTAGCTGAGGAAGGGAAGTCGGTATATTAATTTTTGATTTTTGCTGTACATCTTGAGATTAGTAGCACAGTGATGATACGTCTGTACTGGTATGCGTGATGGCCTGCCATCTTGTCCCCAGCCCTGTGGCCTCTGGCTCCTGTGACACTGTCGGATAAACAGCATGGGAACTTGATACATTAAAAGTGCGTTTTTTCTGCACTGTAAATTTCCGCAGTGCATTCCTTACAGCTGAAACGCTGTCACTTCCTGAAGAATAGACCATCGTTGCTGACGTCAGTGGGACACTTCGGACAGGCCGGTGTCCCCTAAGGCAGCCTGTTCTAATTACCCCACTGAACGCCGAACAGATCGGTACATTTATTTAGTTCCTCAGGCCCAGAATTGCAGAATTTTCCATTTAAGTCTGTATGTTGTGGCTTTTTTTGGCCACTGGCTGCAAAGTCATTTGGTATAAGAACAGGCAAAGCCTTCAGCAGCCCGTCCTGTAGACTCTTATGTATCACCAGGTCGATCTGAACTCCACCCGTGAACCCGGAATGTACGGTCAGCGAGCGCCCGCCCACGAACCCGGCTTGGGGTCTGTCGCCGTAATGTGGCACCGCGTGGAGGGCCAGGCGGAGGCTCGTGTCGCGGCAGGGCGGTAAGGGCGGGGAAGCCGCGTGTGTCAAGGGCAACCCTGTCGTGCTGCGTCAGCCAGAGCGTTACAGCCTGTGAGTCACTGCTGTGTAAATAAACTGCACAGGAACTTCAGCTGCCCAGAAGAACTACAATTACCAGGATGTACATCTTATTTTTGCACTTTGCAATCATGTGTTGTTCGGTATTTGCCTTTTTCATTTCGATTATCACTCTTAATCACGGTAATAAAAAATATATTAAAAAATCTGAAGAAAACAAATGTAATCTATAATTCTATAATTATATTTTTACGTAAAAAGGCATTCATTCCTCAATTTTTCTGAGAACAAGATATTATATGTAACATTTCAGAATGAAATCAATAGGTTATAAACCTTCAAAAAAACTGAAAAACACACTGGACAGGTTCTAATTAAAGATAGGAATCGATCGACTGTGTAACCAAAGGATTTCTGGAGCAAAATAACACCCTGTGAAAAGCAGGGAACAAGAGACGGAGGAAGGTGGGCAGAATATTTCATACCTGATAGCTAAACGTGTGCAGAGATCTGGGCTTCAGCGACAGAGGCGCTGGTCCGTCCCAGACACCTCTAACCCGGGAAAACCGTGAACAGTCCCCTCCGCCCGCATGCGACGGCGGCCGTGTGCTGGTGACAGACGGGCACCGCAAAGTCCCTCCTGGAGCCCAGCCCCGGTCCGTATGGGCCTTGACAGGGGAGTGAACACTCTGAGTGTGCTCAGGAGTGCTCAGGCATGTTGCCCCTGGTGACAGGTCACGTGACACACACAGGAATTACTTCACAGCCTGGGCAAGCCAGAGAGACACGGAATTAAACATAACAAGAAAAAAAAAACAATCGGATTACTCTGACAGCACAAAAGCTCAAATGGAGAAGCTGGGAAACTGGTGATTATTAGCTATAAAATGTTTTTTAAGTTACAGACAAGAGAGAGATGTGATGGATAGGAGAGGGCTTACACCATCGATTGTCTGACTCTAGGTAAAATCTGCTGAACAGTTTGTGGCCCGATTTTCAAAATTAGAAACTCAGTTAAGGAATCTAATCTGAAGAAACCACCCTGAAGAAACACAGGCCCCCCAACCATAACCTTCCATATCCAAGGACCATATAAAGTGCCCCTGACCACAGCATTTGGTGAAATGCAGATTACAGACTTTGCCTGTGTTACCGTGGAAACACTTGCCCAATTACACTCAGCTATCATCAGAAAATGTGGTATCAGAAAAGGATTTGAATTGATAGCAGATCTGCTGAGACAGTGAAAAGTAATTTAGGCATATTTAGACATCTGTATCTTATGTTTCAAATTTGGTCAGACCCTTGACCGGTTTAAGCTTGGAAATATCCTTTTATTCGTAATTAATGCTTTTTTTGGCTTTTAAACTCACACACCCACTAGTGCCTCTGAGGATGAAGCAGGTTTCAGCCAGCAGAATCCTCAAATCCTGTGGTCTCTCCAATTAATGAATTATTCAACAGTCAAAACCTTACCAACTGTGAAGACAGGAAAGTAGGATTCTGCTGGAGGTGGGGAATCCACATTGTTTGCGCTTCTGTGCCTGCATGTACCACTTTAACATCATGTGGCATACATGTTAATTCTCCCCTGTCAAGTGAAAAGGATGCGATTATTTAAATAGCAATTTGGCCAAAATAAGAAAAGTAGAAGAATATGTACAAGGAGGCGCAAACAGGATTTTAGAATCCTTCAGTGCTGCGTGTGAAATTTCACTTTGGCCATGTACGTGAGGGTAAATGTGAACAAATAAGCAAACAGCTCCAGCCTTTGTCATGTGGGGTTAGTTTGCTTTGAGGGCAGCTCAGTACAGGCAACCCTCCCTGAGCACATAGACCAGCGTTTCCCCGGGGGCCGGGTCTGACCAGAGCAAACACTCTCTGTTTGAGCTGAATACGTAAGAGGAAGAAAAGGGGAAAAAAAACATGTTTATTTTGCAAATCTTGCACTGTGCTTTGACCCAAAGGGGATATAAGATCTCATCTGTTTCACTCATGAAGATTTCATATGGGGAAATGGAAGGTTTCGCCTACTGTTAATCGTCCAACAGAAAAGTCAACTAGCAAAATATCCGCAGTGCAGAACTCTGGTGACTGATAGAAAATGACGGTGCTGACTGGAATCATTAACTCTGTTTTTAATGTCTATAAATATATCCGCATAGTAGACTGTGTTTACATTTCAGATAAAACTGAATGTTATTAAAGGGAAAGCACAGGACAGGATGATTAATCATCGGGTCGTCGGTTAGGAAGTAGAACTGCCTGTAAACACAATGGCACCACAGCACCTGCAGCCAGTTTGGTGCTATATAAAATTTTAATGGATGGTGCAGGACCCTGACCGTACTGCACCATCACCTGTGTACTGGACAGTCTGTCCCTAGCAACACTGCTCTGATAGACTTTCATGCAAATACACACAAACAGTATTAAATGTATCAATGTTTGGTGCACCATTAAGTCCAAAAAGAATTCTCATTTACGTCATTGTATGTTCCGCTTCAATTTGGCAAGAGCTAATGTATGCTGTGGTTTAGATCCACTTGACTCTTGGGAGGGGGGTCGCATTTGTGATACGCAAAGTAAAGTAACATGAATCTTCAGCCCCAATAGATGCCAGACTGCTCACCTGCCAGTTAGACATGCTGGGAAATGGCCAGCAAATTAGCATACCTTGGGGAAAGGAGGCTTATTTTCCAGGAGGAAATTTCAAGAACCAGTACGCAACAGTATAGTGGGCTATGGGTGTAAGAAGGAAGAGGAAGTGTGATAATGTGACAGTGTGACATATTAGTTGCTAAAGAAGCATTAGCATTAGGTAAAGGGCTTTGCTAAAATTTCTCTGGACTTTGTTCTTATATTCAGAAAAATTGCTTCATGTAAATTATTGACCGTACAGATATGAGGACTAGGGGGAACCACCAACCTATAAAGAAAGCAAAGCTTAAACGCCAGAGAATCTTCAGGCTTCATCTCTTTTGATACATGTCTCTTTAGAAATTCCCAAAACCGCAGGAAAATTTCACAGTGTGCTTCATATTCTTGAATGAGTTATGGATATCAACTTAAAGATTCTGCACTCAGCCTGATGCAACAGCAGAGAAAAAGAAATGAACTGAGATGGAGCACAGCAGAAGATCCTCCATGATCTGCATACATGCAAAAAAAAATTTATGTATTATTACCATGGCTCAACACTACTGCTGTGTAGAAGCTGGGTGACCCAGGCCACAAGTGGGCAAGTTTACACTGCAAAGCCCTTCACTGAGCCCGGTCTGCATAGTGTAAGCTGTTTGGCCTGGACTGCAAAGGGTGATGAATCGAAGACAGTTTACCAAATAACTGTTGGGCACTATGAGTACATGATACTGCCATTTGAGCTGATAAATGCACCATGTTCCAGGCCCTCGTTAACAGTTTCTTTAAGGATTGTCATACTCTATCTGGATGACATCATAGTGTTCTCCCCGACAGGGCAACTCATATCCAGAACATTTGTCAGGAAGTTCTGTTTACTTCAGAGTAGACTCACTATGAATGTCTGTCATTTCAGTCTGGTTTTCCAGGTATTTCCTGCCTAGGTGAAGGGTCCACATGGATCCAAAGAAGGTCCAAGCCACTGTGTAGAGACCACAACCCACCCATCAAGGAGCTGTAACATTCTTTTAGAACTGTTTTTAAAATACGGTGTTAAAAACATTTTGCCAGACATAAAACAGTCAGCAATACTCCACAGACAAAAGTCTCCTCGTGATGTCATCCTGTGACCTTTCGCCAGTGGGGAAGGGATAGTTCTCCGCTCGACATGTACAAAACACTTTGGGTGGAATTCCCCTAAGCAGACATATTTACCACTTTTAGCCTTCATTCTTCAGATGAAAAATACAGTTTAAAAAATGAAAAAAATGAAACAATAAAGAATTCCTTCAGAAGAAAAATACAGCTAAAAACAATAATAAATAATTCATGTCGGCCTTTTATTGTCAGCTCTGTTAAGATCATATCTGTGTTCACTGTTTCTCTGCGGCTAATTTTTTGCCTTTTATAAAGGTCTGACATTAATGAGAGAGGACGCTGGAAATGAATGGACTGCGCTGTACTGTGCTAAGCGTGTGTTTGGGTGCCTTCCACCGCCGTCCATAATCCTTTAATTACATTCTCTACATGGGAAGGCCAGCTTCATCCACAGCATGCTTGCTAAAGGGAGGCCATGAATATTTAACAGCTGCTCCACATTCAGCCTGGGAAGCAGTACAGAGATGCTGGGGCCCTGCACCACAGCCACGACCTTTGTTGACACCGCTAATATTTAAAGCGCAAGTTAGCGCCTGTAAATTAGCCTGAAGGGAGAATGGTGGTTCAATAAGACATGAACAAAAACCGCTGGATTGACATTAGCAAACTGGATCAAAGCTATGCAGGATACCAGCTTATTTGTGCAAGAAGTCTCAACCGCCCCCTTCCCCAAGGTATTAGCCCTCTGTTCAACGGGGGGAGGCAGTGGGGGGGGGGTTATGGGATGACCATCTTTGTGTTGCTAATATAGCCTTTGCAAGCCTGGAACAGTCTAGTGGGATGCAAAGCTGCCCCCGCCCTCATCAAAACGTGCATTTCTGCAGTTAGACTCTCACTTCATTTTTTATCGTTCACGTTTTCCTTTTTATAGCTCAATTATACACAGAAAAAAACATTAATAATGTTTCCTTTTAGAAAAAAAGAAGCCATCATAAATCAAACAAGAGGTAAGAAAAAAAGCACGAAGGGTGTCCAACTATGGATAGTGCAAACAGATGAACTGTGTGTCTGTTACAAACAGTAAGAGCCCTGACAAACCACAGGCACGCCCTCCAATGGCCAGCTTCCTATCAGGCACGCACTCCAATGGCCAGCTTCCTACCAGGCACGCCCTCCAATGGCCAGCTTCCTACCAGGCACGCCCTCCAATGGCCAGCTTCCTACCAGGCACGCCCTCCAATGGCC